CTTGAAAAGGAAATCGATGGCAAAAAAGGATGGGTCGACCATTTGTTCCATATAATCTGGCCCCCTTCCGACATCAACTACAAATTCTGGCCTCAAAACCCCCCTTCCTACAGGTATCAACACAACACCCATCTTTCCGAATCCCAATTCATGGAAAAATTTCTAACCAAATTCTCTTTACAGGGCTGCCAATGAGGAGTACAGAAAGCACTTACATGGGGTTGTGGACAAGCTGTTCAAAAGCCTGTCTCTGGGGCTGGGGCTGGAACCGCATGAGCTGAAAGAGGGCGCTGGAGGAGACGAATTGGTGTATCTGCTCAAAATCAACTATTACCCACCATGTCCCCGCCCTGATCTGGCTCTGGGGGTGCCCGCCCACACCGACATGTCGGCCATCACCATTCTTGTGCCAAACGAAGTCCAGGGCCTCCAGGCCTTCAGAGATGGGCATTGGTATGACGTCAAGTACATCCCAAATGCCCTCGTCATCCACATCGGTGACCAAATTGAGGTACTAATTTCTGGGAATTCTTTAGAATGCGTTTTGGGTTGTGAAATTGAATCTCTGAAGTTGTTGTGTGTTGTGTGTTGTGGGTGTGGGGGCAGATTCTGAGTAATGGGAAGTACAAGGGCGTGTTTCATAGGACGACGGTGGACAAGGATAAGACGAGGATATCGTGGCCGGTGTTCTTGGAGCCGCCGGCGGAGTTTGAAGTTGGGCCGCATCCGAAATTGGTCGACGAGAAGAATCCGGCGAAGTACAAGAGGAAGAAGTTCGGTGAGTATGCGTATTGCAAGCTGAACAAGATCCCCCAGTGACTGAATTTGAAACTGAACGAAAGAAAGGGTGTCGTTTGTTATTGTATTTCTCCGGCCACGGCGGCTCTGCTAACGAAGTCGGTGACGTGTGCGATATAGTATTGTGTCACGAAAATTGGCATCAGGGGGCTGGCCTTCTTTCCAATTAATAACACGCCTATATTTACTTATAATGGAACTTTATTAAAACAACAATATTTAAAGCTAACCACTACTTAAAATTTGACTTTTGACAATTCTCTAGGAACAAAATATATATATAGCCGATGAGCACTTGTTCTTGTTTAAATTTAGTTAGCTTTTTGCCATTTAAAATCTCTATTTATAGCTGTTAAGAACTCGTCTATAAAATGAAAGGTCGATTTAGATTATTTTGAACTTTTTTTTTTTTTTTGGTTTTTTACTTTTAGAAAATGACTTTTGGTTAGTACTTAGTATCGGTTGATGTTTGCAAAAATATGTGTAAAATGATGGAAAGATGAGAAATCGAAATGGTCTCCTTTTAAATGAACTTTTTGTAAATTTAAAGACGAAAAAAAAAGAAAGAAGACGCTGGAAGCAACGATTTTGAGTGCAGTTTTGGTCAGATAAATAAATGTATTAAATCTCATTCCGCCGCCAGTCATCAATATATGAATCAATGCATTTGTTATGGAGTAGCTTTCAGTATACGATCAGAAGAAACGGAAAATTTACTGCATTGACCAGTAAAACCTACAATTTTATCCTCCCTACATTTTACTTAATCATAATTAGAATTGCTAGCTCAATGATAATCCACCAATAACTCCAACAATGAAATCATGAGTTCCATCCTTCTCACATATCGTACTAAGAAAAAACTTTATAGGACATATTACCATTATTAGAATGTTCCTTTGTTATTTTTAGTTAACTAAAAATATTATTTTATTTGCAATTAGAAACTAATAATATTTAATTTTAATTATTACTATTACTATTTTACCGACAATTATTTTTTTAAGCAAATTATTTAATATTTAATAATAAAAATAAAATTATATTAGTTAAAAGTGTTTAATATAATTTTTATTACAACAACCATCATTAATATAAAATTTCATTAATTTTGTTGCTATAATATTTAGTGATAATTAATTATATTTAAACATAACAAAAAGATTGAAAATAATTCATTCTCACATAAAAAAAAAGTGCTAATTAATATGATAAAAGGTAGAGACAATTTATACAAATTTTGACAATCATAGAAGGGAAATTAAAAAGTAAGCTCTAATTAACTATAGAAACAAAATCAAAACTCTCCAAATCATAGACATCAAAGTTATAATAATTTAACCCTCTTTAAAATCCCTAAGCTTCAAAAAATACCTTCACAAGAAAATTGCAAAATAGGGCTTTAGTTCAGTACTAATTGTACCCGTTGGTCCAAACGGGTATAGAGTAGATGAATACGCCGCAGACGAAGGAAATGGCCATTGTAAGCGCCGCATACGCGTAGGCTCTCCACGGCCGCTCGCTCACTCGCATGGCATTGAACTCCGCCGCGAACGTCGACACCGTGCTCAAACACCCCATCAGCCCCAGCTGCAGCCCGCCCGCCACCGTCTCCACCCTCTCCCCTTTCACCGCCTTCTTCACAGTCGCCAGCGCCGCCATCACGCACGCCGCTAAAACATTCGCCATCAGAGTCCCAATCGGAACCCACTTCCACCGACCCACGCCGCGCCCGTTCAACCGGGCCAAGAACCACCGCACCCACACCCCCACCGGCCCCACCAGGCATCCCACCCATAGCTCCGCCCCGCCGCCGCTGAACTCTCTCTCCAGCAAACTTCCGCTGAGGCTCCATAACAGAGCCAGCATCAGTAGAAACCCCACCATCACTGCCAAGTGGCGCTTGTAGCTGTCCACTTTCCAGCACCAGCTGCAGCTTATGTTTCTTCTTCTCAGAACCCATCGGAAGCCCTCTGCTGTCTCTATTCCGAAGATTATGGAATAGGCCACCAGAAACAAACCTGCACAGCAACAAAAGGTTTTGTACTGTCTTTCTATAACTTTGGCTATGATGCATAACATCATAAGTTTTGTCTCTGGATTCGCAACTCATTAATTTTTGTAAAAATTCTATATTTTTGCATTTCTCTCTTAATCAAAATTGCTCCTAAACTGTAAGGAATCAAGTATTTGGCTATTTAAAATTACATTGCGAACAGGCTTATTTTAGAAAGTTTCGATGTAGTTGACCACAATATAGATATATTGGACGTAAAATTAAAATTTCATAGGCCTACTGAAAGTATAAAGATTAAACAAGCACGAGGTAAAGTTTATGTTACCTATGAGAAAACCGAGGATTGCAAAGAGCCAGTGGCCTTCGACGCTGAGATCGAGCATTTTCTGATTCCAACCACTGAAAGTTGTTAGGCTTCCCAAGTAGCCGGTTGTCAATCCAATGGCAAGATAGTCTGAAATCTTGGAGATATCTCCTTTGAAGACCACGCCCCACCATCCCATCAAGAACGATCCCACCTATCAAAGTTAATATAAAAAAACAATTTTGCTTACTGTCTTAAAACAAGCTGCAGCTGCATACAAAAATACCTCTAAAATTTTGGATGAGTGGAAGTATTTCTTCGCAAGTACTTTAGAAAACAAAAGCTCATGCATTCTTTTTAAGAAGCACTACGCATTTAAGTGTATAAAATTTTCAACACTTTTGATTGATGATTCGAGATTTCACTTTTCCAGAAGTCATTCTAAAAACACTAAGAGAAAACGCCCTTTCAAATAAGCTGCAAGCCTTCCCTATTCAAGCACAGAAATCAAACATTTGGCCCATAGAATTCATAACAAATATTAGACTACAAGAAAAGGTGATGCACATTGAATTATAAGCTTCATTTTTATCCTTCTTAGACTGAATAAATTAGATGTTCCAGAGGGTAGACAAAAGGAAGATCAGAAACTCGTTGCTTTATGAGAGAACAGAGAATGAGAGTAAGACCATATTCGAAGGAAGATCAGGATACAAAATTGTCTTGTCGCTCGTCACGTTTGCATTCTCCGGACCAAATAACTTCTGTAGTCCATACCTTGTCAAGACCTGCAAAATAGATTGATTGGAGGATGAATAGACAGAGCTAATTTGTTTGTCAACAAGAAAAGGTTTCAACAATCTCAATCTTCATCCAACTCTTAAAAAGTTCAAACTCCAACATCTTTTAGGCCAAAACTTTGGTCACTCAAATCACAAGTACTGTCAAGAAATGACAGTAAACAACAGAAGTCTGAGTTGTAAATGGGAGGCGGCCACAGGCAGTGTTTTTCTAAGAATGTACTAAAAATGATCACTAATCTAAACTTTTTTAAATGTAGAATTTCCTTTGAGTTACCCCAAGAATTCCAAAAACAGCAAGATGAACAAGGCAGGTTACATACTCCAACGGTTTGGAGAGCTTCCTCTGGCTTTCCTGTTCATGAAACCAAACAAAACACAAGAATTATCCGAGAAATGGAAATACATTCAAATCAACAGTTGAGGAAAAATTGTTGAAATAAAGCTCACTTGCTTTGTGTCTTCAGAATGAACCATGGGACAGGTTGCAATAGGAGACACGATTTCCTCAGCAAGAGGCGAAACAGGGGAAACAGCAGTACTAACTGTTGCAGACTCACGACCCCAAAATCCATAGGAATGCAAGAAGGTATTGTTCTCTGGAATTGGGGCAACTGCGCCATTCTCTAATACACGATCGAAAGACAAGCTAAAACGCTCACTGTCACTGAATCTGTTGCTGTACAGAGCACGATCCCCTATGTCTCCTGCTTCTGAGACGCTCTCACTTTCAGCATCTCCATCAGTTTGAGGAGGCTGAGCACCAAGGGAGTTAAAAGAGTTTCTTCTAAATGAAGAGCCTAAGCTTCTTGCTCGATTGAGTGAAATTCCTTGCCTGGTTTCTGGGTTGCCATTCCCATAATCCATGACCCCTTTTAGGAAGAAATCGCAGAAAATTTATTAGGGAATCAGATATGTAAAGATTAAAAAACAAGATAAAAGAACAGAGTGATTGAATGATGATAAAGCTGACAATAATATTCAATTGTTTTTTCAACTTCTTCGCCCATGAATATATTTAAGCTCAACTACCCTGATTTGGAGATAAGAGATGGATTTAAATTTAATGCTATGTACAGTTCAATGGTTGTGGTTTCTATAAATTTCAGCCATCACTGTACTTGAAAAGAAGACAGAGATGTAAGGGGGAAAAAGAAAAAACAAACAAGTAGAGCCAACTGCTGACTAAAATATGAAAGAAAACAGGAACCTTCTCTTTGATAATCATAAAATATATATGATTTGGTAGCAGAAACAGAGAATCTTTCCCCCACCCACAGCGAAGATGAACATAAAAGTTGTTCTCTTGTGGGAACTCGTAAGATATGTTTTCCACTCACAGGGCACTGTTAAGTCATATAAACTCACTCCCATTTCTCAACCATTGAATTGGAGGCCTTGAGCCGAATTTCCAGTGAGGAAAATATAATGAAATACAAAAATCAGAGGGAATCTTGAAAGGATTAACATAAGAAAAATGTATTTGTTGATCATAAAAAAGAGAGGAAGAGATGAATACATAAAGACAAATAAGTCAAAGTGCTACCTCGGGATGATAAAATTTGACCATTATTACAAGATTAAGATTAATGCTCGGCTGAAACTGAAACTGAAGCCAAACGAACCTGGGGTTATGGAATATATGATGTGCTACGAAAACCGCCTCGTCTCGGCGGAAGAGGAGTAATCACCGACGCCGAGTCGCGATGCGATTCGAAGATTCCGACCGCGAATTGCGATTGCGCAATGGCGGAAGCCCGATTTTGTGGGTTGAATAGAACAGACAAGGGGTTCAATGGGGAGAAGAAGGAAATGGGATTTGGGGAGGCGTGGCGGCGGAGGCGGAGGCTATGGCGGTTGGGAGGTGGCCGCAGCCAGACGGCAGTTGCAGGCTGTGAAAGGAAGGGATGAAACGCTTAGCGTGTGCGGCATGCTTCTGTCTCCATACTTTGACTTTCTTTTCCCTTCTATTCTAACTTCCAACATTTTGGGCTATTTTCTATTTTCTCACGTAAACAAATTTAAAGCATTTTTTTATATATAAATAAAATTTTAGGTTAAACTATTAAATTTTATCCGATCCTAAGTTTGTAACCTTGTAACCAATTAAGTTGGTTGAATTATGGACGAGATATCTCGTCACTTAGTGAACAAACTAGAGACGAGACGAGTTGGTAACCTGCAAATAAAATTTTGCACAGATGTGSTATTCGTTATATACACTCCGAATTTTAAGTTAATACTTAATAATTCGAGCTGATGTTCAACGATTTGAATAGAATTGTACGAAGATTGCGTACCTTTGAAAATGTTGAACTCTAATTTTTATAGGGGTGTCTTGGGAAGTGCAACTCTAACACTCTGATGCCAATATCTAATGTCAACGAACTTCTTAGAGATTCTTGAAAGATATCACCCACTTCCAAGTTCCAAGTCAGTATCAAAGTTGGTCTACCTTTTGAGTCGACATCAGATACTTTGTCGTCTTCACATGCCAAGCTAAAGTTGGCAGACCCTTAACCTATCTATAACAAAGTTCATGATATATATTTTAACTTAAACGATTCATACTTTATCTCAATCACTTGTAGTAAGTTGACTGTAGTGTATTATTTAAAGATCATATGGCATAACATTTCTAGATGATTTTGATATTTGATGGTGTCAATATTAAATTGATAGAGTTAATAATATGAGTGCATTAGACACAAAATTGTCTGAAGTGCATAGACATAATATAAAATAAGTTCAAGGATAATATGAGTATAACTTAAAAATTCATGAACGTATTAGAAAAAAATTAAAGTACAAATATTTACTAGATGTCAATAATTCAATGACCAATTTTATAATTTAATGAAAAAATGTATTTAAATAGAATTTAGAGACAATTTAATGTATATAAAGAAGTTTTGAAAATTATTTTAATTAACTAGAATGGAAGGTATAAAATTCATGATAAAATAATTATCAACTGATTTTTTATTTAAGAAAAATATGTATTAATACAATAAGTGAAGGTGGGAGGATTCGAATTCATGATCTTTTGATTAGATAAAATACAGTTGTCAACCGCTGAACTAGCTAAGTTAAATATATTTGTATTTGTAGTTTCTCAACCATTGGAGAGAAATGTAACAAATAATACAGATACTGTTCCCCACAAAAAAATTTAGATTATATAAGTATAAAAAATCAAGTGTCATTGTTGTCTTAACCGACAATTAAGCTGTCTATTGTTTTTGGCTTTTTTTTAGTACATTGTTTTTGGCCTTTTTCTCACAATCATGTGCTTATTTAAATCAGGGAAAGAATAAGCACTTGTTGAATTAATTTTAGATTTAAACGAATAATTTTATGAAATTTAACCCTAAATATGAGCTAGGGTGAAATTAACGTTTTAAATTTTTAAACTAATTATGAACTTCTCGGGTTAAAATACTAAATGATTTCTTAGATATTAATTTTTTTAGTACAACGAATTAGGGATATAAGAGTTTGAACTTCTCATCTCAAAGATAAGTGTACTTGCTAATTGCCGCTGAACTATGCTTAAGTTGTTGATTAAAAGCTTTTTTATGGTAAAGCTTGATTTAAAAAGGACATTTTTTTTTGGTTGAAAATGATTTAATATGGATGGTTGTGGCTGAAAATGCCAAATGTTGAAATAACGTACACAACAAAGGGGATAGAGAATAATGAGGAGCATAATTATGTCAACGGCCCAAACATGAGAACCTACCCAACGCCCAACGCCCAACGCCCTCCACACCTTTTCTTTTTATTTAATTTTGCCAAGAAATTGTCAGTTATTTAGTAAATAAATAAACTCTTCTATTCTTGAGATGGAAGATTTCAACCCTACATTTATTTGTTTTGAGTACAATCCACACCCATCAAGTTCAGTTGCCCCATCTAATTTTGTTTCATTTCAATGACATAGGTTAATATTAGAAACCACTATCGAATTTGACGAATTGATTGGGGGCCGAAAAAAAAAGGTTGAGAACACTCTCATTGACCCGTGTTTATAACCTCCCAGAGGGATTTCAAAATCATTTYTYATGTTTRGATAAATAAAGAAAAAAGAATTTGAAATCCTAAATAATTTCAAATTCTGTTTTTGGTTTAGAAACAGGTACAATTTGCRAGGATTTTAAATTTAAAGGTAACAAATTCTGATTTTGTCATACTTTGGTAAAAAAGATTTATCACTCTAACYTCCTTTATTTTTACATCATCAACCAAATAAGTTTCAAATTTTGATTTGTCAGTAGTTTTTTTTATTCTAATAAGTATAAACAGGKTTTTYTTTTTCATCACGAATGTAAAAAAGATTTTTTTTATAACRCGAYTGTAAAAAAGATTGATTTWCTATTTTGTTTTTGGTGTACTTAAGATTCCTTATATTTCAATATTGTTCAGATCTTTGTATGTTTATGTTTTTTTGGTATATGTTTCGTTCTTTTTTACTTTTGGCTTTATTTTTTTACTGCATATCATAAAATTACTATGATAAAAATAAAAAGAAACAAATTGTTGCGAATAAATTGAAATAATTTGATTTTAAGAATTTTTTTAGTATTTGAATAAACAAATTTTGCAAGTTTTTTTTTTTTTAGTTTTTAAAATAAATGTGACATTGACAAGTTTTAATTTTTGTTAGGTCGATTTGGTTAAAGTATTTATGTTTTTCATGGTTGAAATTACTAATTTATATTAAAATATTATATTATTAATAATATAATATTCTATAAAATATTATACTCGTTGCGTTCGAAACAGTGTTAATAAGGAATCAATGGGGGTTTCCAGATATATTACTCAAAAGAATAGACACAATACACCTAATCGGTTGGAATTGAGAAAATTCTGTCCCCGTTGTTACAAACATACGATTCATGGGGAGATAAAGAAATAGATCGAACCGATCGTCCGTGTGTCACCCTTTTCCAATCCAAGGAAGATGAAAAATTACATATATTAGACATATTTTAGATTTAAATATAAACAAACCAAATCCTATTTCTTAATTCTAAATCATTTTAGATCYRATCGAAATAGGRTTTTCGGGATAAGGAATAAACAAAYCATGGATAAATCCAAGCGACTCCTTCTTAAATCCAAACGATCTTTTYGTAGGCGTTTGCCCCCGATTCAATCGGGGGATCGAATTGATTATAGAAACATGAGTTTAATTAGTCGATTTATTAGTGAACAAGGCGGGTAAATAGATTACCCCATTCCACTTATCAGTTATTTATTCATTAAGCATAACTAAAAATAGTTTAGTGCTACAATAGTATGATTAATCCACAGTTACTAACGTTGAAATTTTCACACAAGTAGTCGTAGACTGAATTCATCCAGTCTAACAATCCGGCTAAGCCCAGTTGATATAGGCCCAGCCCACTAAAGTGTGGCTTAAATGGGCCTAACGTTCGGCCCATATAAAAGCCCAATCTCTCTCCAAGTTTCATCGTCTTACTAATTATCAGCTCATTTTTTATTTACGAATTTAAGTTTTTAGTGGCGCATATGTAATTGTATACGTCCGTCTCATTTCGGCGCCTTAATTAATTTTCCTTTTAAACGTCTTTTTTTATTGGATTACGTGTTCGTTTGCGGTTAGCTTGGTTATCTCGGTAGATGACGTGGCAATAGCCTAATGGATAAGGGCGAACCTATCTGGAGCTGATAAAGCAGCTCACAGCCGTCCGATCGTATAACTACTGGGCCCTACTTCACCCGATTCTCTCCTTTTCCCTCGAATCTCTCCTCCCGGAGATATCCACCTTCGAAAACTGAATCAATTCTCACACTCAACTGTCCGCCATTGATTACTTCCTGTGAATGGCCGGCAGCTTAATCAACTGAAATCTACATTGCGAGAAGCTTCAGGGCTGCTGTTCTTAATTTTGCTTTTCCATGGCTGAGGTGMAGAGATCCAGCGGCACTGTGAGGTGGTTTAGTGCGCAGAAGGGCTTTGGGTTCATAGCTCCAGATGATGCTACCGATGATCTTTTCGTCCACCAGACGTCGATTCGGTCCGAAGGATTTCGGACTCTTTTCGATGGTCAGGCCGTTGAGTATTCAATCGATTATGACGAAGATCAACGCGCCAAGGCCGTCGACGTCACTGTAATTGGTAGATCTAGCGAATATGGAGGGGGGCGTGGGGGTGGGAGAGGTAGAGGTAGAGGAGGCGGTTATGGAAGGTTCGGTGGAGGAGGCTACGGAGGAGGCGGCGGCGGCCGTGGTTTTGGCAGAGGAGGGAGGTACGATGGCCCCAGTGGTGGCTTCGGCGGAGGTGGTCGTGGCGGGGGTGAGTGCTACAATTGTGGCCGTGTGGGTCATTTAGCGAGGGATTGTTATCGGGGAAACGGCGGTGCCGGTGCGCCTCCCGGCCGTGGCGGGACTCGTAGATACGGAGGTGGTCGGAGTTATGGCGGCGGAGGCGGAGGCGGTGGCGCCGGGGGTTGTTTTAATTGTGGAGATGCAGGGCATTTTGCCAGGGAATGTCCAAATGAAAGCGTATAAAGAATGCGGGTCTTCCTTTAAGCGGTATTTATTCTTTTTCTGAAGATTATTTTTGGTTTTGGACTGTTAAATTTTGGTGCAAATTTCTGGGATTATAAGTGCATTGGTGACTGCGAGTCTGAAATTGATGGCACGAGGATCCGGGACAATAAACCATAGGGCTTCAATTGATCATTGTTTCTCCTTTTGGGTGTTCGATAATTTGCTGTTCAGAGTTAGATGATGAAAATTGAAAGCAATTGCTTGTATATGCTATACCTTACTGGCATTTTCTGTTCATTCTTCTTTTGATTGTTGTGATATTTCTTAACATGTTATATATTGATATATGTAATCCGTCAAGAGTATATGTTCATACCATTTTCTTTTGTATTTCTAATGTTTCGTCTTTGTCAATTACTGTAATGTTTTCCTTTTTCTTTCTTTTCACATTATCAGTTACTTCCATTATGGTCTTTGTTTTCTCTGGAAACCGAATGTATTAGCTCTTGTAGACACCCTAAGAGTATTTTTGGAGATTCTTTAATCTCTCTTTGGATAAGATATTAGCCATTTTGGGGTTCCAATGATCTGTTTTATGGCTGGATTTGAATTTTCTCCTTTTTGTCTGTCAAATTCTTCACATTTGACAATTCTAAATAGTAACTTCAGCCGCTGGTGCTGTTCTTTATGTTCTGTAAGTTCTTATAGGACAATACTAGTCATCATTTTTAGTTCCATGATGTATGTGATTACTGCATCATGTTTGAAACTTTCAATTCTCTGCTTTCTGAGGAGTTATGGAATTGTTTAGGCCCTCTTTAATTACCGTTTTCTTTTGCTTTTTGTTTTAAAAATCTATGTTTTTGCTTCCTTACAATTTTTTTTGGTGTGTTTTCAACTTTCTTAAAAACACTCTTATAGAAAAAACTTTCTAAAAAACACACTTGAATGTTSRTCCAAATTTTGAAAACAAAAACAAGTTGTTAAGAACTACTTTGTTTTGTTTTCAAAATTTGACTTCGATTTTAAAAGTAGATAACAAAGCAAATAAATACATAGATTGAAGTAGTATTTATAAATTAAATTTTAAAATAAATAGTGAAATGRTTATCAAACCGGGCCTTTTAACTTTTTGTTTTGTTTTCCCATAGGTTCACATTTGTAAAAGACTGCGATGAGATGCTTGTAGTTTGTTGATTTGCATTATGCTTCTAAATCTTCATCTTCCTTCTCAACACATAGGTTAATGGAACTGTTGCGTTCCGTTATTAGGTGATGGCTGAAAGAACTTAACATCTAACTATGCAGTCCACTGGAAAGCAATTGAAACAGTTTATAATCACACTTTTTCTTGCCTTTACTTAGTATATAAGCCAATGCTTAACTTTAAAGGGAAACTCTATACTGATTATTTATGCTTCAAACTAGATGGGCAATAAACTTCATTGTAAGTTGTCAGGTTTAGCTAGATGATCATGACAAGGTAGCAAGTTTCTCCATTCGTTTATCATTTTTCATAACAATAAAGTTTAACAGAGAGAAGAAAATATGAAACCCATGTGCCAAAGTTGGATGGGATCTATGACAATCTTAGATGAATACGACAGTATCATCAAGGTATTTGGCTTACGAGTTGAGTTTATGAAAATAAACGTCTAATTAGTGACGCGAGTGGAGAAAACACATTGTGCTCCCTCACGAGGATATCTTGGATAAATGTATATTCTTTTGTCTGACTCAATTATATGTCTTTGCTTTGATGTATAGCGGTCTAGTCTAGGCTTACGTATCAAGAATGAATTATTGGAGGAGATCGTTACAATGAGACTGATGATGTTATACTGTTATATTTATGAGAGAAAAATCACAAAAGTATCTATGGTGATTTTTTAATCTACATCTCATGGTYATTAGGGGACGACCACATTACAACAACCTTATTCTATAGTTTTTCCAAATGTCAGGAGAATAGATAAAACTGTATTGTATACTTAGTTAAAACTTGAGAGCAATGGTCACATTGATACATTTTACTAAAGGGTCATTACTCTCTCTTTATTATATTTAGGTTATTTTTTATACTACTTTTCAACTACACATTTCTCATTTATGAAAAGTTCTTAGTCGACGACTACCAAATAAAGAGAATTATCAATCAAAGTTGGTGYAGAATTTTATATTTTTATATTAAGTACAGCCAGACACTCGAATTTGGGCGTTTAGCATTATCAAAATACTTCTAATTCTAAATCATCAATATTTGAGAGTAAATTGAAAATATGGTTCAAAAAAGTAAAAAATAATTTACCTCATGGAAAAGTGCTACACTTTTGGCCCAAATATTTGATCATAAAGTTCCTGACTTACATTAGGATGACAGTATAAGAACACGTTTTTATTATGGTACTTATGATCTAAGCACTTTGTGTTAAATGCACCAACTCAAAAAGCACTTATAAGGTGGGGAGGGGAGGAACATCAATTTTTAAAGGTTAAATATATATTTTAGTTCTTGACGTTTAGGTCTCTTATTTAACGAACAAATAAAAAAGTTTTAGTTTTTGATGGTGAGGTCGGTTTTTTATTTGGTCTTGTAATTATATGTAAGAATTTCAATTTCTTCTTTTATATATAAATTATTTTCAACTAAATTCTTATTGTCACTAGACGTTAAAATTAATTGAAAAAATTATGATTTAACGTTAAAATACACTTCATCAATTGTCACTAAATTCTTGTTGTCACTAGAGAATATGAAGAGATGCTAGAATTCCTCACTATTATATTAAAATAAAAAAACTTATTCATTTCATGACTTAACACACTGATTTGAAATTACATATTGTTATTGAACACTCATAAAATAATCATTTAAAAATTTTTTGTACCAACGATTCTTTTCACTCTTAGGACTTAATCAAAATAACTAAATACGTTAGAGATGAGATTGAAAGTTTTCAAAAGCGTGAGGACCAATTTTAAAAACACTAAAATAAGGAAGGAAAATATATATTTAGTGTTATAGGAAAAAAAAACAATTATTTTTGAAAAGTTGTTGAGCACAGCAAGTAGTTCATCAAACAAGAAGGAAATTTGAGAAAAACTTTGAACGGGCCAAATAATTTTTTAACGTTAGTAGATTTTTTGTAATACCAAAAACTTTTCTGAAAATTTCGATGTAAACGTGGCAACAAACTTCCAAGCACGTGCCGACAGGCCATCTCTGACACTGAAGTGAAACATCCATCTTTACTTTTCCTTTACACCTCAATAATGTCCTATTATAGTTAATTTCATAAACACCAAAAATAATAATGATAATAATAAAAAGACCAAATAGTCCCTTCAAGTTTTTTTTTTCAATTTGATCCTTAATCTTTTAAAATTTTCAATTTTACTTTCAATACAATTAAGTCCTTACATAAAATAACTGTTAAAATTTATTAACTTATTAAAGTATTATTTTATTAGTATATTTCTATACATGACACATTACATAGACATGCTAATTGGTGGAGTGAATTTTGTTGATTGGCAGGTGACAAGTAGCATATTTACTAGTTTAGAAATTTGAGATTTTTTAATGCATTAACCTTCAAATTGAAAATTTTAAAAATTGGATACCAAATTGAGAATTGAGCAAAAAATTAGGGACCATTTTATAAATTTAACTAAAGAAAAAAAAAAGAAATTTTCTTCTCTTCAGTTTTAGTCAAAATGTAAAAGTATAATAAAGAGCCTGTGAGAATTGCAGTTGGCAGAGGAGATCCATCTAGATAGAAAGATTCAATGTAAAAGATGGAAAAAAAAAGGCTGTTTTGTTCTGTAATCTTGGAAAGTTCTTCAAAAGGGTCCACATCCAATGACACTTCTACACGTGTCCTACAGCGTGGACCCCACCCTCGACTTGGGCTGCTGACTCACGTTTTGTCAAAGGAAAAGAAACCACTGTTGGAGGTCAGAGAAAGTAGAAAGGTTCAGTTGTCACCGTTGCCTTTTGGGTACGGGCCTGCGTGCTGTAGGCCCATTTGTTGACAAAATCCTGATAAGCCCATCAAGTGAATGGGCCCCACCATCCAGCCCAATGCTTTTTATGGGGCCCACACACTGAGGCAGCTTTTTCAAAGAGCTTCCCCTACCCTGTATGAAAATGACACTAAATACTAAGTTTCAGTCGTGGGTAGTATTGTCATTAGTGTTGAGGATAGCATCTTCTATGTACAAGATGTTTTACGTACACTCTTTAAATACTTTAACCCTTCAAGTTTAGGTCTAAGTGAATGCTTTTTTACGGGGCCAACACGTGCTGAGGCAGCTTTTGCAGAGAGCTTCTCCAATCTCTCTCTGCCATGTCTGAAAATTACAATAAATACTAAGTTTCAATTGCAGGTAGTAGTGTCATTAGTGTCGAGGATAACATCCATATTTGTATGTAAGAGATCTTTTATGTAGAGCCTCAAAATACTTCCCTTCAAATTTAGGTCTAAGTAAATAGTGTTGTATTGTTTTCGAGGTACATAATTGAATCTTTCTGTCGTGACAAGTAGTGCCAAATTCGYGCTCTAAACCTRGGGTGCAAAGTACCGTTGGTCATGTTAAAAGTATTTAAAGATAGAATAAGTAAATGTAGAGATATGACCAAACTATCGATGGGTTAGAGAGCGGATGAGTGACCACTAGAAAAAAGAATTCAAAGATTCTTTGTTCAACGAGAAGGTTGAAGATGGTGTGACTAAAATTATGTAGGTCAATTACAGAGGAGAGAAACACATAATGTATTTACTATTTACAATAAGAAATGATAATGTTTTAACGGTATAAATCCTTCTTGACAAGTTCAAAGACAAAATAACGTAGAATTAGAATTACGTGGACAAGTTAGATCGATTGTCTTAACACCTACTAGTACGACATATCAAATCTATCTTCATCAACTTGAATTGTTTTCATCTTGTAGCTTCTAATTTAATATAAAACCAAAAAATTATTCAATTAATATTTTATTCTCACTCTATTACTTATCTCATCAACCCATCAAATATGTTTTGTTCATTATCATCTGGTGCTCAAATTGTAAAAGAAAAGGTGACAAAAAAATAATGGTTGTCGTTAAAAAGCGAGCAAGATCTTATCAAGAACTCGCGACAATTTTAACAAGATTTCGATGGATTAAAACCATTATTTTATTCATTATAGTAATTAATACATCCTTTGTAATGATTTGAATGGAAATAAGAAAATTAAATAAATAGACGAAAATTCACGAGGTAATTTTGTCATTACACTCAAATGTTGGGAAAGCAATAAAATTTGCCATTGAAATGAGTCGAGACCTTCCAAATAAGATTGAACAACTCCAAACCCAGTGGTCCTTTCATCCCACCAAAATTTCCTCTTGGTCGATCCAACTTTTTTGACCAAAACCTTTGAAGTGATACGTCGAATTGATTCAGAATTAGAAATTCTTTAAAAAGTTCATTGAATAAAAAAAATCCAATCAACCATGAAAATTTTAGGAGATTTGAACCTCCCACCTATAATAAAATATTTTATAATTGAACCGGATTGAATATGTTTTGATATAACTCAATGGAATATGTGACATCTTATTAGAGGTCGGTCATTGATCAGGTCTCAAATGGGCCTACAAAATTTCCTTCCTCCCCTCTCTCTCTCCTCTCTTTTTTCTCTCTCTACGGATGGGAATTCAATAATTCGTAATGTTAGGACAGCTAGTTGAGACAATGACTATGTGGTTGCCATTCTCATTCTCGAGACGAACTAATGACTTCTTTCATCTGTCGCTAATACAACGTACAACCACACAACAACGAACTTCCCCCAATTGCTTTGCCACACTTTACAACAAACTTCCACCATACAATCTTTAGGATGAGTTTAAGCCATAAGGGAAAATGATGAATAGAATATCATTCATAAAGAGAAAGACTTGGAAGTACAGATTTCTTAAATATCAAAAAAAAGAAAGAAAAGGGGAAGCTAGTGGACTCAGCCAGTTTCAAGCTGAACTGGAGGTCTGTATAGGGAGGGGTGGCCAACAATGCCATCACACCTTTGTCTTAAAATCATCACCAATACATGGAAAAAGAAAAAGGAAGAAGAGGAAAATTTAGGGATTGCCAATCTGATCTTTACACACAAACATATTTATGCCTTCTTTCTCTCAGTCTCTCCTCAGTGGCTGTTTTTGGTTTTAAATTTGAGTGATCTGATGTTTTTCTGTGTGTGAGTGAGTTCAATGCTTGTGAGGAGGGCATTGGTAGCATTTGGTGAATACTCCAAAAGTGTCAACTTGATGAATGAAGTTGAGCATGCTTGCCCACCCTCCAAATCCAAATCCCACAATCAGTACCCATGCCACCACAAATATGTTCACAGAGTATAGCCCTGCCCACCCTCCCAACAGTGATGGGGCTCTCTCCACTGCATTCTGTATCATTCAATAGGAAAGAAATGGGTTAGAGAGTTGGGAGAGACTGAGTTTGAATCAAAAGAAAGAAAAAGTTATCAACCTCTCTGGCTGTTGGAGAAGCGAACGTGACCATGTGAGCTAAAGCGGGGATAATGTAGACGGTGAAGCTGACGAGAAGCGATCCCACTGTCGAGTTGATGGGTCCGAAGAATGGGAAAATGATTGCCAGGAACCATATCGGTATCACTACCGGGAGTCTAGCGAGAGCTCTCTTGATCAAGCTCTTTGTCTCATGGACTCTTATGAATTTCTCCCATACAAAGTAGAGAGGTGTGCAGGCAAACCCAAATGTTATGAACTGTATAATGAATCACCACTCCCAAGTGTTACATTACAAAATTAATACACATATTGATAATGGAAATCTCAATGAATCAATCTTATTGAAATGGGCTTGATTTTTGCAATTAGAATGTCACCTGATGGATGAGCATGAGTATGACAGCAGTGTCTCTGAAGCCATTCCTTGGGAGCATAGCAAGAGCATTGGCATGGGTCAAAAGTTCATCCCCAAAAGCCCAATAAACAGCAGAAGCTGATGGCAAAGTGAGGGTAAGCACATATAGGGTGGCCATCAAGTAAATAAGCTTGAATTTCTGTGGCTTCCACATGGCATGCATGATCTCCCTAAAAATCAAGCAAAAGAAGATAAAACAATTGGTACAAATGAAATGAATGTGTGTTTTCTCTTTCTAACTCCAAAATTATCTTCTGAATTCTTACACTGTTACAGCATGCCCTCCAAAGGTGTAAAGAATGTTGGTAGCCCCAGTAAAGTACAGAATCATTTTGGTAGGCCCTGAGTGCTTCACTCCCTCAACCTTCACAGATAAAAAAAGAGGTAAAAAGGATACCAACTTCACGTCATTAAAACTTTCTTCCTTCTTCATCTTTTTCTAGTTCAATGAAACCAAATTTAGGTAAAACCCAGTTTGATGTTTACATTTCAATGACTTTTTCTTTACTACGTGTACATGACGGGCCTTTAATTCATTCCATTAAATCACCACTAAACTCAAAAGTTGAAATCGATGGGTTACCATAAATTCCCTTGTGGAATTAGAAATTCGTACAAAGTCCAATAAGTAGTTATAAATATTACTTGGGAGAAAATGATTTACACGAGTTCAAACATAGGACCTCCTGCCTTGATATCACGTTAATTCACCAATTGGGTAACTTAACCTAAAAGTTCAAACTGATGGGTCGAGGTAAATTTAATTTTTCACTAATATTTAATACATTCCTTGAAAACATTTTTCTTTTTGAGTTCAACTATTGCAAAGTGGAGATCAAACTGAAATGGTAATAGATGCGTATGCTAAAAATATCTTCTATACTAATAAAAAATTCAGATGCGTTTGGACTGTATTGAACTAGTGAAATTTGAGGATTTTAATGAATATATTATTGTACCTGTCCGTGGATTAGGGAAGCAATGGTCATATACCAAGCCGTATAAGTGGTCATCATGAGGCCAAGGAACGACCAAATTCTGTAATTGTGGAAAGAGGGGATGAAGACAGTGGTAGCGCAGCAAGCGCCAAAGATATAGGTCCAAGTCCTCTTGTCCAAATTGTCGTTTATGTAATAGATGTTACTGCAAAACCAAACCCCCCATCAAAATCACATTAAAGAGGGGGCAGAGAAGAATTATTGAAGTTGAAATATATGCAAGTTCAGGGTAATTCCTTCCTTGTTCTTGCCAAAACTACCTCGCACACGCTATTAACTGAATCACAGATCCAAAAAGTAGAAACGTGCAGTTGAAAAACAACCCCACATTTCTCCAGTGTTTCCCCAGCAACCCATCAAGAACTTCAAACCACTGCAGAGGGAAAACAAAAGCAAGGAAAGAAAAGAGATTAGAAGAGGAACAGAAAAAAAAAATGGGTGTGGAAGTATGAACTCACCTGGATTACATGGTTTCTGAAATCCACCTTTTCCCTTTCCTTTCTGGTTCTGTATTCGACATAAAGAACACTAATAAGATACGCAGTCCAGCTTCCCATTAGGCCGTAGAAGAGCTGGAAGAGAATCCCAGAAAGCATCCCCAGTTGGGAAAATGAATATGGAAGTGTGAGAAGCACTTGAGCAACCTGAAAAACCCAAAAATAAAAACCCCCCAGAACCAGAAACCCATTAGAGACTAAAAAAAACAGAAAAAGATAGAGGAAAAAATGGGGGTATTTGCCTGATTAGAAGCGCAGCTAAACCATGCATCATAAACAGAACCGCCATGCCAGAAGAGTGATGAGAGCTTGGTCTTGGTGGGTTTCGAAGAATTCCCCTCTTCTCTCTCCATTTCCACATAATTGCCTGCGATTACAGTTTCAACCTTCTCAGAAGCCATTGCGCGCGTTTTGGGTAAGGTGGGAGGAACAAATGGTTGGATATAGAGCCTATAAATAGACAGAGTTCAGTTCACTCTTCAAATTTTTTGCTTTGCTTATGGAAAAAAAAAACTTTTTCAGCCATGCCCATGTAACAAACATTACTATTACTACAATCCAACTCTTTGTTTTTACAACATCATGTAAAATTGAGGAAATTGGGTGAGTTTTTTTTTTTTTAACTATTATTGATGAATTTTGAAAATGAGAGATATTTTTTATGGGATGTGAGATGAATAGTTGGAATTGATATTGAACCTTGAGAGATATATACCTAAAATTAAAACCCCTGTTGAGTTCAAACTAAGCTGCCTTCTTCTTGTAGCTTTCGGTGGTGGTTATAATGGAGTTGTTTCAATCAATGAAATTGAAAATTTCAATTCTTTCTCTTCTTTTATCTCTTTGTTCCAGCTTTTAGAGAAGGGGAAATAGAAAGGAAGGTTTTTTAAAAAAGTTTAAGTTCTTCACATGTGGGCTTCAAAAGCAGAGTTTATGGGCCAGGCCTAGCATGCAGCGCACGAGCGGGTTGGCCCACTATGCCCATTATTTCTCTGTTTTCTTTTTCCTTTTATTTTTAATGAAAAATCCCATTAAAAAACAAAATGTAGGTTAATGAGCAAATTACAACTCTGGTATTTTGAAAAATTGTAATTAATAGTAATTTGAACTCATTTAACTGTTAGTTGATGAAATGAAATGCTCACCAAAGGGAGTGTCCCAATGTATATTTCCAGGGCAGGTCCACCTCGGCACCTTTCGAGATTGAGGTCTTGGCCATTATTTCCCTTATCAAAATTACCAATACTAAGGATGCTGTCCAGGTTCGATCTACTCAACCCGATAGGTGCGATCTCAAACTCTGACCAAGGTAACTGCCTGTCGTAACCTTGTCGAAACCTAAACCTATAAATAAAGAGTCTCATTTTCAACACAATGATTGAATTTTTTCTCAAACTTAATATTGAGTTCGAGCTTCTTACTAACTTGAGCGTCAGAGCTTTTGCCCTCTTATGCAGGTCTTTCCGTTGTGATCCCAAACGAAATTAGGACCGAATTCGATCTTGACCAAGATTTGACGTTGTGCATATATTTACGTAAACAAACCCTATCAAGAGTATTTAAGAGCAATAATCTCACAAAAATAAAATTATATATCAATCAATCATCACATCACTTAAGATTATTGATTATTTTTAATAAAGATGAAATTAACACAATGGTAAAGGTCTGAGTAAAGTAAAGTTATAATTTAGCAATAAAATTGAGAGATTAAAGAAAAGAAGGGCGGAATGGAAGGGGAAGATGGAGGAAATGATTGCTTCGAGGTTTGGCTTAGTGGTAAATATGATTAGTAACACACGTGTGCCAACTGGCTCTGCCATTAATCAAAAAATTTTCCAGTGGACCCCACTGCATGTCTTCCTTTATGCTTGGGCTTAACTGGGCCCACTCTTTTCCTATCCTTAATCATGATATTAAGTGCTTCTTAAAAGCTACATTTCAGAACCTTATTCTTTTCTACTATAAATTTCTTCCATTTCAGCACRACACGGAGCGGAGGAATTTGATTTCATGACCTGCGATTGTAGATACGTTCAGATTGACTTTTAATTTTCATTATATTTTAAAAAATCATTAATACTCGTTGTGTTGTAATGTTTATTAGAAAAAATGAACCTAATATTTATAAGTTTGATGATTAATAGAGTTGAAATGAAAGGATTGTGAAAATTTTATCTTTTCTCTAATATTTTTTATTTTTGATATATTTTTTTAGCTTTTGAAAAAGAGACATTCAATTTTCGTACTTATGGGATGTTACTGGATGGGCCATGAGTGGCTTTTCGGTCCACGAAAGATTGGTATTGAAATGGGCCTCCATTCCCACTACTCAAATCTACAGTTCAGCYATATTTTGGGGACTTCCAAGCAATTTTATTTACATTTGCAACTAATTGAATTCRTAATTCAATATTATTTTGGGCCAGTATGTAAAAGTAAAAATATAAAATAAAAAGTCGGTTTTAATACTATTTTAGTTCAAMGTTACTTTCAAAGTATCTTTTTAGTTTGTGTATTTTTTAACTTCTGTTCATTTGAGTATGCATATACTTTTAAAACATTTGTTTTGGTCYATGTACTTTTAAAAATTGATTCTTTTAATTATTATTTGCAAAATTTTAACAAGCTATTTTATATAAACTGGTAACTCTTTAATACAATTTATGGTAACATTTAAAATAATTGAACGCACGCAGTATCATGTTAAAATTGTGATCAAATAAATGAATAAAGATGAATATGAGTGACTAGATTATCACTTTTAAAAAAATATATCAATCAAAATAGACATTTTGAAAGTATAAAAACTGAAATTAATAAAAGTTGAGAGTACGGAGACCAAAATTATATTTTAAAAATACAACAATCAAATAAATCAAAGGCAAAATTACAAGAAAAAAATAGTATTTAAACAGTTGTTTGCAATACCATGGATTATTGTATTTTGGGGTGTATACAGGTCCAACTTAGTTTTAGAAAGAATTGAAAAGAAAAAACAAGACTAGTATCTAAATTTCATTAGCCAATATTTTTATTTTTATTTTTGCATTTTCTTTCTCATATCACAACAAATTTATAAATGTTTACGTGAAATATGCCATGCATTTTACTTTATAAATTTTGATAAATAATTCTTTTAAAATTAGTTTTCATACTTTGAAATAAAATGAAAAAGGGGATCAAGAGAAATTGCTTTCCATTGGATTTTTGGAAAGTGACATAGCAATGATGGGCATATTGGGAGTTTAAGAATATTAATCAACAGCTTGGATTGGTAATTATTATCATTCAAATAATATATATATAAAAGAACCCCCACTTTTGATGTTGATAATAATGGCCAACCTAATCACTAACCCTACAAATGAGAAACGTTATTTTTATATGCATATTTTTCCTATTGGAACTTTTGTTTAAGATTAAAAAAAAAAAACAAAAAAACACTTCTCATTAACCCAAAATACAACACCACCTTCTAATTTATGTGTAGAATATATTTTATTGCTATTTGAACTTTTCCATCATACCTATTTAGTTCAGGTTCTATTTATGCATTTGTCTGGTATAATTATAAGCTTCAAATTGGAAAAATCATTTACATAGATTGATTAGACACAAAATAAATATAGAAATTAAGTAGACATAGTTTCGAAAGTTGACAAATTTTTTAAAATATAAAATTAAATATACACCACCTTAAAATTTTAGACAGAGACGAAATTACCATTTGAGAAATTTATGGGCTCTTTTATTTTTTTAATTCTTATAAAAAAGAAAGTAAAACTAGTGGGTACCTAAAGGATGAAATTAATAATTAAAGTGAATGAAAGTACCCGAGTTTGATTTTGAGGTGTAATGGAAACGTTGGACCCGGTGGAGTTTAGGTTCGGTACAGACGCAAAGTTGTATTGCATGTGCGCTTACAAAAAGAAGCAAAAGTATTGGCATTGGGTCATTTGATAGCTATAATTCGATACTTTTAATACCTTTTATCAATATTTCTTGCAACTAATCCATATCCACACACTACATTTTCATATGTTTACATGTTTGAGTGAATCGATATTTTTATTATATCATAAAAAAATCGATCAAGTATTAGAAAGTATTAATAAAATATCATTAATATTTACCTAATATTAATGGAAAGGGTTTTAAATTTATTCTAAAAAAGGTAAAGTGTTTATTTAAGCAAGGTTGGATAAATTTTAAGTTTTTCTGATTTTAAAAATTAGGCYTAAAAAATATTTGAATTTTTAGTTGAATTTTAGAAACAGAAATAAAATTTTCAAAACTTTATTTTTYAAAATTTAGCACATATTTTGAAAACGTTTATAAAAAATATATAACAAAACAAGGAAGGTTATATTTCTCATGTCCCCTCCCCAATAATTGTACCTTGTCTTGGGGCGTTTTTGGCATTACGAGAAAAAGTCCACCGGAGAAAAAAGTCTTTCTCTTCCCGTCCTGAATCATATTTCGGTACGTCCACAGAAGAGGAAATCGCAGTGTATCTTTCTCAACAAGCATAGCTTAGAGTGGGTAAAGTAAGGTGACCACAGGAAAGGAAGCCAAACCTATTTATAAGCTCGATTTTTTAAAACAAAAAATAATAAAATAATAAATAGTGATCAAATGTGACATTATTTTTTAATTTAAATAATTTTTATTTCTTTTTTATAAAATTCAACGACGTCTATCAACATCAACATTTAGAACAYTGACACCCATCATAAACTTTGTCATATTATTACTACGAATCAAAATACATATGTGTTGTCCCGTCTCAACATCCAATTACAAGCACTAGAGCATAAAAATAAAATAAAAAATAAAAAACCTTCAACCTTGTGAGGTGAGATAGATTAAAGGATGGACGAGAGGGAAATGAAACTTTGCTATTCAATTTTTGGCAAGTGCAACTTCGAAGAGAAATTGTATTAAAATGAATTCTATCTTCATATAAAGAGAACTTAAATTGAGCCCAAATTGTATCATTGTCTCCAAATTTTGTCTAGACAAGTCAAACATGTTTAGGGAAGTCGGGCTTAGAGTATAGTTGAAGTTATCTTTTTAGTTAATTTTCTGAAATAAATAAAGCGTATGAAGTTTTTGGACCTAAAAGAGTATGGGTCATATATTTTACAGAACGTCGTTTTTGCTCTTTTCTTAATAATGAAATATAAGATTATTTTGTTGTTGCGACCCTTAAATACTGATGGCATCCTTTGGGGTAATGTCATAGTTCCTATGAGGTGGAGACGATGAGGTCAATCAGATATGTAATTATTGGAATAATTGTTGGAGACCCTTTCCACTCGGTATCGTCGGATCACTAAGGTTGACTTTTTTCCTTGCTTGAGAGGAGGGTCTTGCACTCAAGCTCTTTTTTGCCTTTGCACTGAAGGGCCAATCTCCAAGCAAAGACGACTTGTTTCTCGATGAACGAAKCCAATATTTGTATTGTTTTGGCAGCATAGCCAAGCCTAATTATTCCAAATAACGTTTGCCTCTGTATTACTGCAGCTGATGGCTTCCAATGCCAATAAAAGTAACTCATTCAATGGTGGAAAAAATTTAGCAGATTCCGTTTTCAAGAGTTATAACATGGATAAGGCTAGGTTAGTAGAAGGATAGTTATTAGCTCAAGGATGCAAGGTGCCGAGAGAGCAGGAGATTTAGCGTCAAGTTATTCAATGAATGTTGTTTCATTCAAACTACTCTTCTTATAGTTGGATCTCCAAATTTTTGGAATGCTCCAAATTCTACTTGAGCATCCAAATTGGGTCAACCCAACAAAGACGGGAAAAAATGACGAAACTCTTTTTTCTTTCATTGTCAACTGACTTGAAAAGTACTCTAATATGAATTTTCAATTGAAATGTTAGTTCCAAATTTTGGGCGGTGTGAAGAACTTTTCTCACGAGTGAGTTATCGATTTTTTTTATAAATCTTAACTATAAATTACTCTACATTATGGGGTCAAGGGAAATGTGTTAACCGACATTGTTGTTGAATGTAATAATTGATTTAAGCTTAGTTTGTAGTCTCTGTGTTTTATGTTCATACGTTTTTTAAGGTACATCTTGCACTTGCACAGTGGGCTGGGCTGTTTGCAAAATCAAGAAGCCGTGACATATTGGGCTTTCTGCGTTGGGCCCATTTTATTTAAGTAGGCTACTAGGCTAGGCCGTTGAAATAGTGGAAGAATGACAGATTAATTAGAACTAGAACTAAAAAGATGGAAGCTTTGAATAAACTTGATGTAAAGGGTCAGGAAACGAATCTCAAAACAGAAAACAAAAAAATTTCTCGTTTAAACCCAGAAAGCTCTTTTCTGAAATGTCCAACTTTTTGCCTCCAATTCCAAGTTATCCTTCCCTCCACACGTATTCCCAATTCGCCCCACCTCCATTTTGCTTTATAAATATGATTTCCATTTTTCGATCTCCTCATGATCTAAACCCACCAAATATATATATATATATATATATATATAATATATATATATTGCAAGATGATTTCACTTCTTCATCCACTTTCTAATTTTGTCTTCATTATTCTAATCATTATCTCATCAGGTAATTAATTCTTTTCTATTTTCAACATTTAACAAAATTTAATTTGTGTGGCATTTGCATTGAATATGAATAATAATGGCGCAGGGGGGATCAGAAGTTCGGACAGCGCGAGAGTTTTCACCATAATAAACAACTGCAAGGAGACAATCTGGC